GAGTGAACTAAATGAACTAAACTCATACGCATCTCTTTTGTCTGCCAGATTGTTGAGACCCGACAACAACAACACATCATGTCAGAGAAAGAGATAATGATGGAAGCAAATTGCGACTTCATTGTCAAGCTCTTCAAGACATTTAAGGATCGCAAGTACCTTTACATGCTGATGGAGGCTTGTCTTGGTGGAGAACTTTGGACAATCCTAAGGTAAGGCATAAAGTGCTAAAACATGAGGAAATGCCTGAATGAGGATTAGCTGTTTTTAAGGGTATACCGTAGTAGTCGGAAAGGTCTGTTGGTTATTTAACACATTTTTCATCCTTTGTGTTAGAAAACATTTCTTGGACTTTTTTGTTTTCTTTTTTTGTGGGATTCCACAGACAAAAGAGGAATTATACAGGAATGGCACCTGAAATATCACTTTTTGATTACTCAAGGAGATTTTCCTTTATATATTTATATGCTTATACCATATTCCCCAACCTATTAGGTGTCAGTAATTTGCATTGGTATCTCTTTAACTTTTATAATTAAAACTGACTCTTCTAATAACCAGTAGGTTGCTCATAAATTGATAAAAGCCTTTCTATTGCGTTAACAAGTAATGATAGTGCCTAATACTGTATTGTTTATGTTCTGTAACAAATATCCTTGAGGAGATGATTACATGAGATCAGTCACTCTACTTTTTGCTGACTTGCATTTCCGATTTCTTAACCCATAAGGAAACAGGAGCGTAGTATGATGCGTGGACTCCCCTTTTTTCCCTACAAAAGGTAAAAGCGTGGTTCAAATTGAGGTGTGCATTGCATTTGGTTTCCCCCATATTACTCTTACAAAGGTCTTGCCAGTTTCACTGTCCGTGATGTTCAGTGTGCTATCATACCCTTTTCATAACTTAAAACACCAGTAAAAACAAAAAGAAAAACACCAGAGCACATGCTACTGAACAGACAGACAGTTACTACCAGTCATGACAAAGTAATTGTTGCTATTATTGTTACTGTCATTATTATTATTCCTTTGGATGGGCTGTTGTTATAAATATTAGTTATTAGTTCTGTTAAATCTCCAGCTTGAATGGCATAACACGACCATTTTGAAACAGTGGTATAGAAATCCATTTAAGAAATTTATTAAACAGTGAAACAAATTTCAAAACCTTCCTTACATCTCCAGTCAAATAAATATAGATTCTCCAGAGTTAAGAGGAAATGCTGAAAAAGTATTTTGTTTGCATAAGCAACCCTTATGTACACAGCAAATGTTAGAATAATTATGATATTAGAGAAGCTACTTCTTTCTTCAAATCTTATGACCCCCCCCAACTCTCTGGTAATCATTTATACCCCCTGGTCAAGAACCACAAGGACTACCATGTCAGCATATTCTTTGGAATTAAAAGATATGCAACTGGTTGCCCTATTTTTGCCTTTCAAAGTGTTCTGGCTTTGAAATAGAATTTTTGAAATAGAATTCTCATCTGTGGATGAAATCACATTTTTTTCTCTAAATATTTTTATTTGTAAAAGTAAGATTAACTTGCATAAAGATGAAAGAAAAGAAATGGAAGAAAAAGGGAGACTGTATGTGTGAATGTTGATACATACAAACACATTCCTATGCATATGTACTTTCTTTATGCATGTGCATACAGATGTGCATATATACACATTCACATCAATACACAGTTTATAACTCATACAATTAAGATAATATTTGTTTTTTGAATATACTAAGTACATGGAAAAACAGTTACCAGTAACTAGGTCAGAGTGAAGTGCAACAGTGCCATTGTTTTGTTCATATTACAAATAATCCAGGCCAAAATAAACAAGTAAAGAAACTAATTGTTTTAAATTTGTACAAAAAAATCTGGTAGGAATTGAATGTCTGGAATTGTGCCAGAATTTGTTTTGTGGACTGTACTGTCTGAAGCTGAATTCTGTGTCATTTCTAAAATTGTGATAGTCCTTTTTTAACATGTGTAGCTTGTTTAGTATATACTTACTTCTCATTTATACCTTGCTGAAGAGAAAAATAAAGAAAGATGATCTAAATTTTAAAAAATAAACAGCAGTCATTTAGTACAAAAGTGAAATATTTAGGCATATAAACTGTACAGACACACATGACTGAGTGTACTTGTGAGTATAATGAATAATACTGTGATGTAAACTGCTAGATAATATTCCTACTACATGATACAAATTGGAGGTACTGTAGCTACCACTGAAATTTAATTTGGTAATGGATTTCAATATAGGGTTGAAATTAAAGGAGACACGGAATTTGAATTGGTAAACTTCCACCAATTCATTGTGCATATAAAAATTGTTGTTATTGAACTGCTTTGAAAGTAGAAGAGACAATGATAAATGGATATTTAGATAAAATTCATGTTCTGGTAATCTTTTCACACCAACACAATCAAAGTTCAGGAATATGTAGAAATGGAGCATTTCTATATTCATGATTAGCTGTCATAGCCATAGCGTGTATTACAAATTCTGTTTCTTCTATATTGACAAGTACTGTTGTTTTATTATACATAAGAAGACAATTGATTTTTTAAAAATCAGAACTTTCTTCTATTCTTAGACTGTTGTAAAAAGAAATATTACTCATTGTGTTATTGCATTTATGCCTTTTAAGAGCAATCTTACTAAAAGAAGGAAGATTTTATATTAATAATAATAGCCAGATGTTTTCATTTCACAAGCTGTTGTATATATTTTTTTCTTTTCTTTTCAAACAAGAGCATTAGACTACAGAACAATAGGCATATCAGAATTCATTTTTTTTTATATTCACTAAAATTTGTATTAATAAGGTGATTTACCATGACATCATTAACTCACCTTAAGGTGGTGAAACTGGTCATGCAATGTGTTCCTTTTGCGATCTGTGAAAAGGGATGATGCTTAACTACAGTACTTCTGTTTCCTTCTTATTTTAGTTGAGTGAGTTTTCATTCTGTGCTTGTTCTTATTGTTTATTAGAGGTACTTTAGGTGTCTCGGGTCGCAAAGGGTGGACTATGCATTTGTTTTTTTGGTGGAGTTTACTCAAAATATTTTTATTTACATTGTGACTAACAAAAGCTTTCATTAACCATTACATATTTTATATTCATTTATCCATATTATTTTTGGTGTCCATTGAAGTTGTATCTAAATAGTACCTTCAGTTGGATATTAACTAGGCTCTTTTTTTTTTTTTTCTTGCATTCTTTATCTCATACAGCCTCTCCCTTCCATTACAGAGACAGAGGTAACTTTGATGACCAAACAACTCGCTTCTACACAGCTTGTGTTGTGGAAGCCTTTGACTATCTGCACTCACAGGGCATCATCTACCGTGACCTGAAGCCAGAGAACTTGCTCCTTGATCTCAAAGGATATGTTAAACTAGTAGATTTCGGCTTTGCAAAGAGGCTCCAGGTGAGGACGAATGTCTTTTCTTTTCTTTTCTTTTCTTTTCTTCTTCTCTTCTCTTCTCTTCTCTTCTCTTCTCTTCTCTTCTCTTCTCTTCTCTTCTCTTCTCTTCTCTTCTCTTCTCTTCTCTTCTCTTCTCTTCTCTTCTCTTCTCTTCTCTTCTCTTCTCTTTGCTTCGCTTCTCTTCTCTTCTCTTCTCTTCTCTTCTTCTTCTTCTTCTTCTTCTTCTTCAAGGAACTATTATGATTGTTTGTAGGCTTGTCTGATGTGAGCAGTATATAATTGATAGTTGAAGGATGCTGTAATACTTTTTGAGTGTCGTCATCAAGAAAATACCTGAAAAGTTTGTTTTGTGTTTCTGATAATATGTCAGTCTTAACAATGTTTATTATTCCAGGTTGGAAGGAAAACATGGACCTTCTGCGGCACCCCAGAGTACGTAGCCCCAGAAGTCATCTTAAACAAAGGTCATGATATCTCCGCTGATTACTGGTCACTCGGTGTCCTTATGTTTGAGCTTTTAACAGGTAAGCATATTACGGTTGTCTGTATTCTTGTGTTTTAGGATAAGGGTCACATTTTTAATACAGATTACTGATTAAAATATGTGTGTGTGTGTGTGTGTGTGTCTCTATATATACATATATATATATATATATATATATATATATATATATATATATATATATATATATATATATATATATATATAATATATATATATATGTATATATGTATATATGTATATACACATATATGTGCAAACATGTACACATACACATGCACATGCGTATGCACATGCACATGCACGTGCATTATAGAATTAGTTGTTCTTGTTCATACCTTTTCTGTTTCCTCATGGCAAGAGAGTGGTGTAAGCCAATGATGTAATGTTAATTCCTCTTTTTTTCTCTCTCTCTGCAGGTACACCACCTTTCACAGGCCCAGACCCCATGAAAACCTACAATTCCATCTTGAAAGGTATTGACGCAGTAGAGTTCCCAAGAAACATAACTCGCACTGCTAATGCCCTAATCAAGAGGCTCTGCAGAGACAACCCTGCCGAGCGTCTTGGCTATCAGCGCGGGGGCATCAAGGATATACAGAAGAACAAGTATGGTTTTGTTTTTATTGTTATTGTTGTATAGTACATTCTGATATATTGAATTTTTTTGTTATTTGGGCATTAGTGTTCTTAATTGTTTAGCATCACAGATAAAAGCTATATGATTCGTAGTGAATAGAAAAATATGTGCATATATATCTGTGTATCTTTTAAAAAAATCTCTATTTTTAATTTCCTCATTCATTGCAGGTGGTTTGAAGGTTTCTACTGGGAAGGTCTAAAGAACCGCACTCTGACACCCCCCATTGTCCCCAACGTTCGTTCTGTGATTGACTGCAGCAACTTTGATGAGTACCCACCAGATAGCGACGGTCCGCCTCCAGATGACAATTCTGGATGGGACATAGACTTCTAAATTATCTGTTGTGTGATGCCAGTGCTTTTTAAGACATTTAGATGACACTTTTTCCTTCTCTTTTTTTATAATATATTTCTAGGGTAAAATAGATAAGTTCATTCTCATTATAGTACTAGTGTCATAATTACTTTTTTACTACTTTTTTTTTTTAACTTGTATTTCAGGCACAGTTGCTTGTTAATGGTTATCATTATTTTTTTTTTTGGAGATGTCTTCAAAATGTCTAGCACTGTACTCAATTTTATTTTATTTTTTTTTGTGTCCTTGTGTGTTGTGACAGACTTGCCATGAGAATATAGCCAAGGATGTGCCTCAGTCACCATGCGAGGAGCTTGAGGAGCCAACAAAGCTAGAAGACAGTCAAGTAGATGTATTTTGTTTACAAACAGCTCCATCATTTGCTGACTATAAAGGGCTAAGGTCACAAGATGTTTTATTTCTTTTTTATTATTATTATGATAAACGTTAATCATTGTTATTCATCTGGTGCTCCTGATTTCAAAGCAAGATGCACAAAAGAATAATTGGCAGTGTAATCTGAAACTGAAGCAAGGTTGGCCAGTGTTGGACTGTGTGTGAATGCAAGAAGTGGTAAATTTCACAGAGACATTTCGTGTGAATGTATTTATATAAATTTTGCAGTATATATCATGAAAAAAAAATCTTTGTACATTCACAAATATGGTTAGCTCATAGTGAAGAGGAAGATGTCTGCATTTTTTTTTCTTTTTTTTTTTCTTTTTTTGAAAGTGTCACAGCTTACTCAGGAAGACTAAACATGGTGCCTTAACAGAGTGAGTGTTAAAAAAAAATACTGTGTCATTTTTGCTCCTGCCTCTACAAGTACTTCAGATTAAGATGTTCATATCGCTTTCTCAAGATCTTCCAACGGCCTTCTCCACCATTGTGATAATGTACTTTGTATCCTGTTTGACCGTTCTAACGTGGGTAGTAGGTTTTTTGTTCCTTGGAAGTGGAAAGATGTAGTTGTATATCTTGTTAACTCAAATGCAGCCAGACTTCAGTTTTCTATTAAGTTGGTGCTTAACAATTGCAGAAAACCATGCTAACATCAATATTTTTCATTATTTTTATTTACTTTTACTGTTATAATTTTTTTTTGTAAGTGTAAATAAATTTATTTAAAATGAATGGTGCTTGATGAATAATTGAAGTACATCAAATTAGTGCTTCTTTGGTTGTTTAGTGGTCCATGGGCTCTGTGTATTCTTTTAGTATAATTTGTGATAGATTTCACACAACTTTGTACTTCAAAGCTTCAGATTCTTCTCTCCCTCTCTTCCTCTCTTTCTCAAAATCACATCTCTTCTCAATGATATTATATATGATTAGCTAGTACTCAGTAAATTATTGCTATAGTTATTGCATAACTAACAAGAGCTAGACTTCTTCAGTATTTGTACATTCTGTGTAATATCATCATTAGTTATTTATCAGAGAGACTTTCCACTTACAATAAAATTATGAAATATTGTTTAAGCATAATACAAAAAGGATGGACACGCTATTTTTTATTATATTTTTTTTTCCGAAACATTGTGCAAAATTTAGTGTGACCTTTATGCCTTGGAAAATGTTATATAGGTTGTTTAATGATCATTACAGTTACAGGGAACTTACTTGTGGCAGTACAAGGCACCATCACCTTGAACTTTTCAACATAAAAATCTCTTATTATCTCTATATATGTATAAAGCGATTCAGAGTATATGACTTAAATTCTTGAATGCCTGTACTACATGCAACAAATTCCTGTTTGTTGATGATTCAATATAGGTTGTCAGGTAATTGTTAAGTCGGTGAATATTTGAGAGTAAGCAAATGAACTGACTTAAGTATAATAGTTTCTATTGTGAATGTAAATATTTTATATTAAGATGGTTTTTAAAGATTGTATGTAGCTTGAATTTTAAGATAAATTTGCATTTCATTGGAAATGTTTCTGTGTGTTTAAACTGTTATTTGATCTTTGTGCATTTCCTACAGTGTACCCAACATGGACCATAGATTTAGTTAATTATGCTAAAGTGGGAAATAATCATTTTTTCTCTCAGACTGTTAGAAAAACAGTTAAAAAATACATTAGATCAAACAGGAATGTAATTGTTATGAATAGCTGCAGTATAAAATGACACAAAGTAGATATTTGTCAATACCTATAAAACAAAAAAACAAAAAAACAAAAACAATAAAAACAAGCTGAAGAAATGTTCAGTTAAGAAGTCTTGGACTGCAGTTGTATTGCTTATACCACTGTATGCAAGTTACTGTATAATTTTACATTGGTGCATTGTTTGTTTCTTAGTGCAATGTTTATTTATAAAACTTTAATATAATGTAGAATGTTTTTATTTGTAAAAGGATAATTAACCACATCATAAATCCATTTAAATTGTGCTTTGATAGCCAACTAAGCAGAGTAAAACTCATTTGTATATGCCAAAACACTGTTATCCTCTGGTGTAATATGTAAAACCACATTGATATTTTTCAAAGTACCAATAAGAGAAAAGTCATTGTTGTATTCCCAAAGACCCTGCACACACTTGAAAAC